TTTTGAAGTTGGTAGATCACAAAAATAATCATATAGAACACGGTGCGTCAAACGCCGTCAATAACATTTCTATTTTTAGGGGCAACTGCGTTGATTTCACCTTTGAGTTTGTAAAATGCGCGAAAAAAAAAAAAAAAACAATGCCCGCAAAGAAAACAGGCGCAAAAAAAAAAAAAAAAAAAAAAAAAAAAAAAACCAGCCGCCAAGTTCAAAAATGCAATGAAAGTACCGCTGAAGTGGTGTCATGCCAACAGGATGTCATAACGACCGGGGCCGGGCGTGGTGTCAGACGGGAAAAGAAAACAGAAAGGCCAAAAGGATCCTTTTTTCTACCAAAAAAATTGCATGATCCTTTCCTGCCAAAATTGCATTGTTGAGCATCGTAAGTGTGTTTTTCGCCTTAATTGTTGCGAACTCGATAGCTCCTCGTCCCATAATTGTTTGAATTTGTTTCTGATGTTTATAAATTTTATTTGGGGATACTGTGCAGGAGTCACAAAAATGAGTTATAATTGCAGTTGGGGACTATATGCAGTTTCGAATTACAGTTCGGGAAATGTATACAACCCAGCTTTCTGGCCAGGTAGGGTGCCCGAAGTGCAATTGCCAACTTTATCTTGCCCTATAGTGCAATTATAACTCGTTTTTGTGACTCTGCTGACGTTACCCCATTTTATTTTTTATCAAAAGACAACAGCCTTCAGGTGTCATACTCAGACTGGCCCGTCCCAGCTAATTCGGATTTATGGGCCTCTCTGTACTACTCTCCACATGCACAACAGACAAAAAATACGGTGGTGGATCTTTCCATGTTCTAGCGGATGATTCATTCTCATTTTGCACATTTGGAGAGTAGTGCAGCGAGGCCCTATTAATGGGGTAATTGCAGACACAGCGCGTTTCACAAGTTTTCCCAGCCTGCAAATATTGTTGCTGCAAATGTTGTCGGAATCCGAAAGATGTATTTTTGCAACAAAAGTGGGACCCCGCCTGCAAATATTGTTGCTGTGAAACTACCGGGACCTGTAAGGGCCTCGCCACACCAATGTCGAAACATCACAAAATTCGACATATGGGTCTCTCTGCACTACTCTCCACTCTCCGGAAATCGGAGAGTATGCGGAGAGTTGTCAGACTCTCGGATTTTGGGTCATCGCTGCACTAACTCTACAAACGCAGACTCTACAACTATCGAGGGTACAAAACGACAGCTCAAAGTCCCCGTTTGTCTGCCCAGACTCAAGGTTCACTCTCCAGATTTGGAGCAAATCGGTGGTTCCTTCGAAGGTCTATCCGAATAACGGATTTTGCAGGCTGGGCACTCTCCGGCGTCGGAGAGTGCAATTCTTTTGTGGTTTCTGACAGCTCTCCGAATTTCTTTTGGGGTTCTAAAGTAGAGTTAGTGCAGCGATGCATAACTCTCCGAATTTTCGCGAAGTAGAGTAGTGCAGCGAGACCCTATGTCAGGAGATTTTCGACATTCCCTCTTTCGACAGAAAACCCCTCTTCGCCACACCGCATGTCCAAGGGCCTCACCGCACCGTGCAAGAAACGAAAAAAAAAACGACTTCGTTTCGTGAAGTCGTTGCCACATAGCACCCACATGAACTGTGTCAGAAAAAACTTGTGAATGTTGTCAGCCTCCGAGTTCGTGAGGCCTCACGAGTGTGGACTCCTCCCTGCCTGCAGCCCCACACGAGCTGTGTCAGAAAAAACTTGTGAATGCTGTCAGCCTCCGAGTTCGCGAGGCCTCACGAGTGTGGACTCCTCCCTGCCTGCAGCCCTCGCGAACTCGTAGGTCCTCCGCTGGTAGGCTGGAGGAGCTGCGAAATTTCAGGAGTGTGCTGCATCGCTCCAAACGAAGTCCATCCAAGAACTTGGACCGTAGCGTCCACAAATTTGGACTGTAGCGAAACGAATCCCCCACTACTGTCGCCAGGGCGTTGTGGCTAGAGTTTTCGTATGTGCTGTGGGGCGGTGAGGCAGAAAACGAAGCGAAACGGTGGATCAGGGCTTCGTGAGGCCTGCAATCCTTTCGTTCGTTAGTTGTGCCGTGCGGCGAGGCCCCAAGTGAAGAACTCACGTGTCGTATGCACAAAAGAGACAAACTGGGGTGAAGAGAGGACAAGCGTTAGTGCGTTCTCTTTTTCGACATTCCGGCAAGAATTCGACATCCCATCGGAGGACTGTTGAAAATGTCCAAGTTCTTAAAAAAAAAAAAAAAAAAAAAAAAAAGTCCAAGTTGCAGGCTGGGAAACGAGCCGGTCTCGAGAGGAGGTGTCGAAACCCTTTCCCTGACAGCTCCTGAAAGTTTTTTGCATCTCGGATTTCGACATGCTGTGTGGCGAGGAGAAAATGTCGAAAAATCAGTTTTCGACATTGGTGTGGCGAGGCCCTAAAGCTGCAACGAAGATGTATTTTTGCAACGAAATCTGGACCCCGCCACTATTTTGGAACGCGCTATTTTTGAAACTTACCCTTTATTTATGCACCGGATTGTTTTAGGATCCGAACTCCGGAGTTAGCGCTTGTGACAGTCACCCGATAATGCTTGGGGATAAGAGGTAACACCTCAACGTGAAAAAGAAACATGATTACCGTCCTCCCCCGAACACAACGCACCCTCATTTTGGCCGTATCTGGCCGGAAATATAGCTTGTAAACATTCATTTTTAGGGTGCGTTATGTTCGGGGGAAGACGGTAGTCAGATTAGGTAACCATCTCACGAATTTTGGTGGATGAACGACGGCCGGGGCGGACGGGGCAAGTTTTGAAACCCTACAGGCGTCAGGCATGTTTTGTGAAACGCTAAAGGGAAAACAAGCTCGCCCCGTACAAAGAAAGCCCGCGCCAATTCGAGATGAATCGAGAAAAAAAAATAAAAAAATTGAGCGATTTTGGTCCAAAAGTATCCATTGGGCATTTTCTTTTTTCTTTGTTTTCCCCCGTGACACCACGGCCGACCCCTGTAAATATGACACCCTGTCTGACACCACAGCACGGGTGTTTTTTTGCCCCAGTCGATACTCGAAGGTGACATGAACGTACTTACCCCAATTTAAAATTTGATGTTTCCCACCTCAGACTGCTTGTGTATCCCTGTGCAAACTGCTATATATCATGATAGATAGATAGATAGAGAGAGAGAGAGAGAGAGAGAGAGAGAGAGAGAGAGAGATGAATATCGCACGCGGCAGTGCTACGTGGCACACTGCCACACGCTGCCTGATGCTGTAATCAACTCTCTTTCTCTCTCTCTCTCTCTCTCTCTCTCTCTCTCTCTCTCTCTCTCTCTCTCTCTCTCTCTCT